AGAATGTTGTTGTAGCTGATGAAATAAATGAGAAGTGAACAACATTTTTCAGAACAAGAAATACACAACTATTTTCAGACCAAGTACTAGTAGTAGTGGTTGAAAGTGGTGCCAAACTAACTGGCAAGGCAGGAAAAACCCCAAATTTGATTTATTATTAGTTTTAATTAATCAACTACAGTTGAAGATTACTTTGTATATACTCAATTTTCTTCATTTGTCCTATTAAAACTTAGACTTCTTCAGCAATTTTTTTAGGATAATAATAAAATTGGAAGGGACCTTGGGGGTCATCTAGTCCAACCCCCTGCTCAGGCAGGAAATCCTATACCATTTCAGACAAATGGCTGTCCAGTCTCTTCTTTAAAACTTCCATGTTGGAGCATTCACACTTCTGGAGGCAGGTTGTTCCACTAATTAATTGTTCTAAAACTGTCAGGAAATTTCTCCTTAGTTCTATGTTGCTTTTCTCTTTGGTTAGTTTCTATCCGTTGCTTCTTGTCCTGCCTTCAGGCGCCTTGGAGAATAGCTTGACTCCTTCTTTTTTGTGGTAACCCTGAGATATTGAAACACTGCTATCATGTCACATCTCATCCTTCTCTTCATTAAACTAGACATATCTAATTCCAGCAATCATTCCTTATATGTTTTAGCGTCCAATCCCCTGATTATCTTTGTTGTTCTTCTCTGTTTCTAGAGTCTTAACATCTTTTTTACATTGTGAATGCAGTATTCTAAGTGTGGCCTTACCAAGGCATTGTAAAGTGGTATTAATACTTCATGTGATCTTGATTCTATCCTTCTGTTAATGCAGCCTAGCACTGTATTGGCTTTTTTTGGCAACTACAGCACACTGCTGGCTCATATTTAAGTGATTATCCACTAGGACTCCAAGATCCCTCTCACAGTTACTACTATTGAGCAAGGTACCATTATATCATATTTTAGAAGCCCACATGTAACTCTAATGCTTCTGTGTTGGCATCCCAGTCTTATCAGGACTTGATTACTGAATCTTAAAGTAAACATATTTCTTATAGGAAAGTTAATATGGGATCATTTACAATATTTTTCTAAACATTAAAACTATATGGGCCTGAATGTTTTCTGATTGGCAACATGTGCCATCTATAGGCAGAAAAAAGAGGGAAAGAGAGAAGATTTATATGGTTTCTTCAAACTGTAGAATTTTTCCCTGCAAAAGTTAAGCAAATCTGTGCTTACTTAATTCTTGGATTGGAGACTACCAAGAGATTGTAGATTGTGGGTAGGCTTGGAAACCAAATGATAATAATAATCATAATCTGGGAAGGAAGCAATTGCAAGCCAAACCACTTCCCTATTACTGCTAAGAAAATTACAGAGACTGTCTCACCAGTAATCAAACTGGACTCAACAGTATCTTGCTGTATCGAGTGGGCTAGGTGTATTCATCCTGCCCATTTTCCTCTTTCTCTGATTAATATCAAATAGAGCAGTTAATTATTTTTTCAGAAATAGGTATTTGCAGCAGAAGCTTCTATGCTTGAAGAGGTGCACTAACCCATCAGTTTTCTGTGCAAATAGAGAACTTAATCTCACATTGTCCCTGGGACTTTGTGTCAGTGGAGGTGATGCTGTTCTTCTTTTGGGAAGGAATCATATAATCTTTAGTTAGCTTTCTTCAAAAGTAGGGTTTAGTAGTATTTTTTGCATTTTAAAAGAAAGGAGAAAGTAACTTCATATTGTATAGATATGATTTGATTCCCATATGTTGTATTAGTAGGGAAAATATAGCCTGACTGAAGTAGCCTTCTTGGATTTTGCTTGGAGATGCTAATTACTTTTATATGGAATAGTCAATATATCTTGATCTTTTTCTGTTAATTACTGTTTTGTTTTTCTTCTTTCTGAATATTGGTGCCAGAGCCAAACTGACACAAGTGCGTCATCACACATTTTATTAGTTAAGTTTCCTACTGTGTTTAGGAAGAATGCATGGCTTTTGTTTTGCATCTGTGTATTTTGAGAAACAAAACTTCTCTTTCCATTACCGCTGCTGTTTGGTGTCATAATGGGGCCATATTTGTGTCACTTTGACACTATAATTCAGTGTTTGCTGACTTTGCAGATTTCATGTATTTCTAAAGAATCTAAACTGCCGTATTCAACAAGTTTCCTAGAATCCTTCAGTGGGCTCCCAAGGTGCTTTTTCACTTGCAGTTGTGAAACAGCCAGCCGGCTGCTAATTCTTAGAAGATGTGCATCTTCACTTTAAGTTCCAGAAGATCAGTTGGTGCAGATTATAATTGTGTGTATGTGTGTGTGTGAAATCTGCATGTAGAATTAGTTGTGTAATGCAAACATAACGGGCTTCATATAAATTGAATAGAGACTGCAATAAAGCCATGGTCAAAATTTGTCTGTGTGTGCTTCAGCTTAGAAAATTAACTAGGACAATGTATTACAAATTAACTGCATTTAGTAATAGTGGCATCTTGTTTAACAGCTTCATTTCCTGAAATATAGTGTCGAAAGAAAAATCTTCATCAGGGTCCAGTCAAGGCAGAAATAAACAAATAAACAAATAAACAAAATGGAGACTGCTTTAGAAAGAAGAGCAGAACCACAAGACATGTGGTTCTGGAGCAGCTGATCACATGTTGCTGGGAGTGGTGGGTTTTTATGCCTTCTTGGGATTTTGTGTTTGAGTTGTTCCTGTGGCACGAACTTTGACCTGAGGTTCAGTGTACCCTTCTGTTATTCTAATGGTGGTGGGTTAATCCTATTATGTCCTAAAGGTCATAGTGGCTGATGACTATGTCCTCTGTTGGATTTTTGGGGGTGAGGGGTTGTTGGTTCTAGGGATCTTTGTCTTTCTAATCCCATCAGCTCTAAGCTTCCTGGCTCCAGTCTTTCTGAAAGGATTATCAGATCTGCATTTTTATAGAACTGGTTTCTGCTTGGGACAGAGAGACTTGGGGTGGGTGGATGGTTTCTGCCTTTCAGATCCTTTGGAGAAATATAATATTCTGCCTTTTTAATATTCCCCAAAATATTTCCTTCTCTGGGAGAGGGGTGCTGTCTTCCCACAATAATTTTTGTCCTGGTTCTGCTTTTTTTGTCTTTTTTCCATTTAGCTTACACACAGCAAAGCCATCAATGCATAATTTGAAAAAGGGGTTTGCTTTCTAGTTGGCTTGCTGTAGAGCCGGATGCTAAGGGAGTGGCTCGCCCAAAGTCACCCACCTGACTTCCCTCCCTATAGGAGGACTTGAACCTGGGTCTCCCTGCTCATAGTTTTGTTCCGTAACACTACAGATAGTGCTCAACTTACAACCACAATTGAGCCCAAAATTTCCTTTGCTAAGCAAGACACTTAACTGTTAAGTAAGTTTTGCCCCATTTTATGACCTCTGTTGCCACATTTTTTAAGTGAGTCACTGCAATGGTTAAAGTTAGTAACATGGTTTTTAAATGAATCTGGCTTCCCCATTGACTTCGCTTGTTAGAGGGTCACAAAAGGTAACCACATGACCAAGGGACACTGCGACCCTCATAAATACATGCCAGTTGCTAAGCTTCTATTCAATTTATATGAATTTTAATCATGTGACCAAGGGGATCCCGCAATGATCGTAAGTATGAAAAACGATCGTAAGTCACTTTTTTCACTGCTGTTGTAACTTCGAATGGTCACTAAATGAATGATTGTATGTCGAGGACTACTTATACATCTTCCAGTCTGTCACCCTAATTTCTTGAAAAATTCTTAGTCTATTACGTTTACATTGTTCCTTATTTATATTCTTAGTGCTTTACATTAATTACTTTTACATTATTCCTTATTTATATTTATAACACAATTCCTTAAGAAGTGGAAAAAAAATGCAAACATTGTGGATTGAAAAGTGCTTCCTTGAAGAGAGATGGATCTGCCCTGAGGCAACCGTGGAAAATGAAAGTGAAAAGGAAATGCTGCTTTCTTTTTTTCTGTCATGTCCTTTTAGCATGGTAGTAAATATAACCTGTGTTACTTTGATGGTAGCTAATTTTAAGGCATTTCAGGTCTTTGGATATAACAGGAAAAGGGTGTGTTAGACCTCGGAGGTATTACAGAAAGTCTCTTGGGGTTTTTTTCCATGGTGCCACTGCAGTAAAATGAGTCATCCTTCCTCAGGAGCTTTAATTCCTCAGCCAATATACAGTGCAAATTCATCAACTGCTTTTCTTGTTGTTATTTTTAAAAAGAAAGACAATGTAGAGAATCCAAACAGACCTATTTTGAGGTAAAGAATGAACCATATCTTAGTATTAAGAGTGAATGGCAACTTCCTGTATTTTAGAACAGTAGCCCCCCAACCTTTTGGGCACCAAGGACCGGTTCTGTGGAGAGAGATTTTTCCGCGAATCGGAGGGGACGTGGTTTCATGTGCTGCCTGCATCCTGCGGATGGGGGTTTGCTTGTTTGCGTGGACCAGTTTCTGACATGCCATGGACGGGGACCAGTCCATGGACCAGGGGTTGGGGATCTCTCTTTTAGAAAGTTATACCCATTAATGAATCAGGTACTGTACTGAAGGGGTTAAATATGATGCACAAGTAGTTCTTTGTTTACTTAACTCAATGCATGAAATAAAAACTGAGCCACTTTGATGGAATATGTAAGAAATAGTGATAATTGTGCAGTACGGAGCTTAATACTGCCCTAACAATACTGAAACAATTTTTTCCAAAGTTCAAAAATCACTCTCAAATATAGGCTGTAGCCGGTTGCAAGGAACAGAATAAAAATCAGATGACTCTCCATAGGAAGAGAGCCTATCTCTGTGCTAACATATTTCTCCATTTCTAAGCATGCAATATTCCTCTTGATGTTCCAGCCACGTAGTAGATTGTAGATGAAACGTAAAATAGTTTTCAGGGTATGGTTGACTGAAAAAGGTGTTCTAATTTTTGTGGTTTCGTGTTTGAGTTACAATGTTTTAAAAATGCATTTAAACTTCTTTTGGACTTGTTAGCCGAGAGTGAGGAAGAGGATGACGTTGAAATGGAAGTTGAAGATCAAGACAGCAGAGATGCTGAAAAGCCAAACATCATTAATTTTGACACTAGTCTGCCAACCTCTCATGTGGTATGTGAACAGTGCTGTCATAGAATATCTGCTTGCCTTTTTGTAGGCTTATTGAACTTAAACAGTCTGTTTCTTTGGAATCAGCATACCTAAATTCATAATGCTAGCAGCTTAATACTTTAGGTACTCTGCTATAATTGAACTACTTTTGTTTATAGTTTGCAAGTATCCCTTTTTGCTTGTGCACATATTCAGGATTATTATTTAGCAAGTGGATTTATTTTTTGTATATAACATTTATTTTCCAATGTAATCAAATGCAGACTCGCGGCGCCTAAGCAGGCAATATTTTGACCAAAGTGAATATGTAAGCAGGAGAATTGAATATGCAAACATGTTTCTCATCTTGGAATATTGTGTTCAGGGTGAACACAGAATGTTCACTGCTAAAAAAAGAAAAAGAAAAATTGAGGCTAGGTACACTTAACATTTGTTTTATTATGTAAACTTTTAGACAATCACAAGCTTTTTCATGAAATATTTTGGTTACTGTCCCGAAGGTGTTTTTTCCAAAAGGTAACTTTCTTGGGTTTTTTGTTTGAAAATATTTAACTTCTAATCCAAGAAGCTTCTCCCATTTCCTACCAGTCAATTGGATAAGAAATAAAATGTTTTCAGAGGAAAAAACCAAGAACGTCCAGTTGCCTTTAGGAAAAAGTACATTTGGGGCAACCATGACCTGAATGATTCAGACTCTCCATAGATATTTCGGTTACTGCTTGATGTATTCTCTTTCAGTAGTGTGGCTCAAAACTACTACCGGTAGTAGCTGCCCTGCTTTCAAGGGTCAACCATTTTTACACTATGTTTCTCTGAGTTTATTCCAGGATTCTCTGTAGATTTTGTATTTATAAATTGCAAACGAAACTGATAATCCTCCCACTTAATTGTGTGCGTGTTCTTTTTTAAAAATGTAAGTATTTAGGATCAGACATGGAAGAATTTCATGGAAGGACTGTCCATGATGATGATAGCTGTCAAACAATTCCAGTTTTACCCCATGTGATGGTAATGCTGATTCCTGGTCAAACATTACCTCTTCAGCTTTTTCGTCCCCAAGAGGTTAGCATGGTCCGGAACTTAATACAAAAAGACAGAACCTTTGCTGTTCTTGCATACAGGTAACTATGTAAATAAATATTCAATTCCAAGGTCTGGAGTAGATACTGTGATCTCAGGCTGAACAGGAATTGTCCCATTTAATTTAATTTTGAAGAAATTATTTGAACTTGTATTGCATGACTAAATATTAATATGACTCATCTATACAGTCCTTATTATGGAAATAATTTCTCCCAGGCTTTGGGGCAGAGCAAAAGTTAATTATATAAGCCCCCTCAGTGAAGCTTATATAATTGTGATTTTGAGGGGATTTAATGATGCAGTATTATCCAATGTCTCTGCTGAATGTCAAAGCAAAAATACTGAGAGCCTTTTGTTTTAGGATTTTCTGCTATGATATGTCAAAAAGACTTTGTTTCTTACTCCTTGAGTCAAACATATCATAGTATTTTGTTCATAGTATTTCTTGTATAAACAGTTATTTATAATACTACTTATGATCCATAAGTTCCTGTAATACGCTTAAGTTCTCATTGATTTTGAGCATACTATCATTATCACTTGTAACATTATGTTACAAGTTGCTCCTTTATCACTCATTCTAACTTTTTCTTTTAGCAACATACTTGAAAGAGAAGCACATTTTGGAACGACAGCTGAAATTTATGCCTATCGGGAAGAACAGGAATATGGAATTGAAACCGTCAAAGTAAAAGCTGTGGGAAGACAGCGGTTTAAAGTACTTGAACTAAGAACTCAAGCTGATGGGTAAGAAAGGAACTATTTATTCTCGTTAAGCAGGAGAACCTTTTAACATCCAATATATTCTTACTATTTTATTAGTATGAAATAACCCACTTTTAATCGTCAGGAATTTCTATTTACCAGCTGCTTATAATAGTATGAAATCTTGTATGGTCCTGATCCTGGGTAATTGTATTTGCTTTTGTGGCTGAAGTATTTAGTAATAATCTTAATTCATCTTAACACTGTTTAAGTATCTTCAGGGAAAAATCCTATTAATGTTACTATCCATTATCCCATTTATTAATTTAAATTAAATATTTCAAAAACACATCCATTTCTTCTTGAAAATGTGCTGCAGGCATAAAAAATATGAGTTGATGGAACTCATGACAGTAACATTTACATTTAAATAACTATGTATTTTACTGTTAATAAAAGATTAAGGAGCATCTATTGACTATAGATAGACACAACTATGCACAGTTGTTTTGGAAACGTGGAAGTCGATGTCAATGTATTTTTTTCAGGATTTGTGTGACCTCAACCCTGGGTTTCTTCTTGTAGCCATCCCTTCATATACAGTACTTGCCAGTTGAGAGCCTTCATAGTGTTTTAAAATTAATTAAAGTTGACTAAGGAATGAGCTTGCTTTACAAATTATTTCAGACTTACTCAGTTTGTTTTTCCTGAACTATATATGAATTGGAATGCATTAAAAGATAAAATGCAAATATGCAAATTTCAACTCAATAGTATAAAAATTGCATAAAACATATTAGGGGAGTTATAGTTTAAAAAGAATTTGTGTCCTAATGAAAAGTGCACTCAAAAATTTACATTACACACACAGAAAGGGTGAAATCCAATGGGAATTTAGAGCACACTTTCTGAAAAGGAATCTCTGACTAAAATGGGATGAGTGAGCTATCATTTGCACAGTTCCTTTGTACAGTGTATTGAAAATAACGTATGTATTTTCCCCAGTTGAAAAAAAAATACCCTAGGAGTATAGCCATTTGAACACAAGATGGCAGCATACATTAATGTCACAAGTAGCTGTATGTGCTAAGAAAATGTTTTGAAATAAGATTGATAAATCTTTCATGACACTTGCAGTCATCTTCATCCAGATAAAAACAGACGCAGCCAGAATGAGAGCAGGAGAATTGTGTTTGTGTCCTGTTTGTGGGTTTCACGTTGGCACGTGATTGACCATGGTGGAGCTAATCAGCTGGAGTAGGCCTTGTGTTGAATACTGTCCAGCTGTTCTGATCTTTAAAAATTGTAGATCGTTGAGCAGGAGAGCTTTGCTCTGTTATCCTTATAAATTTGCAAGGAATGGCCCCGAACTCCGTCCAAATGTTGCTGCTGAATTGTACTTTTTAATATGACAGCTGGAAAATTTTATTAAACACTTGGGATATAAATGTACTATATGTTCCTATTTCACAATAACAGTTTTGATTGGATTTAGAGTTTTTAATTTTTGTTTAGATTAAAAAAAATAATTAAATCAGATTAATGCTTGTTCTTATTTGGCTCACTATTCCCCTCCTCAAAAAAAAAATATATATATATACTTAAATGCCAAACTCTCTCCTTGGTTATAGTGAAGAAATCTCATCTAGAAAAGCTAGATCCTGTTGGCCTTTCACAAGGCTTTAAAAACCTGAATATCTATCTGAGCCTGGGACTTGGAATGTGTTATTTAGTCCTGTTACTTAGCTTTACTGGTAGTTGATTAACCATCACAGTTGCTGTTCATATTTAATTTGTGGATGTTTTTATTGTTTTAATGTTTTTTATTGTTTTATAATTTTAAAATTGTAAGCTACTCAGAGTCATTTGGTTAGGTTGGGTAGGTATAGAAATTGAATAAATAAATGATATAGGATTTCCTGTCTGAAATGGTATAGGGCAATGATGGCGAACCTTTTAGAGACTGAGTGCCCAAACTGCAACCCAAAACCCACTTACACATTGTCGAGTGCTGGGCAGGTGTGGCCCTTTGGGTGGGCGTGACCCATTGGGTGGGTGTGGCTGTGGTAATGGACGACTGGGTGGGACTAAAAAATTCAATCAATCAATTCCAACTTTGCAAGATCTTTTTTCTCCCGCAAGAAGTTGAAATTGACTGATTGAACCTTTTTTTTTTTTTTTTGCACATGGCAGCGGATACCTAAAGTGAAAAGGTTTTATAAACCCAGCTGAAGGCCTAGGACTGGGGCGATGGCGTGCATGCCCACAAAGAGGGCTCTGAGTGCCGCCTCTGGCACCTGTGCCATAGGTTTGCCACCACTAGTATAGGGTTTCCTGCCTGAGTAGGGGTTTGGACTAGAAGACCTCCAAGGTCCCTTCCAACTCTATTTTTTATTATTATTATTATTATTATTATTATTACTACTACTACTACTATTATTCAGATGTTCAGATTGGATTTGGCATTTTTGTCTACCAATCAAGTCCTTACCAAGGATCCGGGATAGGCAGAAGTAGATGTTTGATGGTATTACAGATATTGTCGCAGGATGGAAGCTGTTCCTAGTAAGGCTGCCTTTTGCAATTGACTGATGGCGAATTTGTCAATGCCAATGATGTTCAAGTGGCAGCCTCTCAAACACTGGAATACTGCTTTCATGTCCCCCCTAGTTCTTCTTTTCTCTAGACTAGCCATTCCCAAATCCTGCAACCGTTTTTCATATGTTTTAGTCTCCAGGCGCTTAATCATCTTAGTTGCTCTTCTCTGCACTTTATCCAACATCTAAACATCTTTTTTTGTAATGTGGTGACCAAAACTGGATGCAGTATTCCAAATGTGGCCTTACTAAGATTTTATAAAGCGGTACTACTACTTCACGTGATTTTGATTCTATGAATATGTTTATACAGCCAAGGATTGTATTAGCTTTTTTGGCTACTGCTGCACACTGCTGCCATTTTTCATATGGTCAAATATTTACTGAAAAGTATCAAAATTAACTAAATGAAACAAGTCACAAAAAAGTTGGGACCAGAACTTTACTATTTGGCTTTAGAACTGTTCCCATTTTAAAAGAACAGGATAAGGTCTGATGTGAAACAACCGAAACAACCGAAATATAGCTGGGGAACCTCTGAAGTAGTCTTAAGTCAAAAAGAAGGGGGGAGGGTATTTATATGAAACATAAAATAGATATTTTTAGAAAATATTAAATTAAAATAAGCAATGTCCTGCTGTGATTTCCAAGATGTTTATGCAATTAAAGGAGGTAAATAAGTAAACATATTTGTGTTTCCCATAGAAGTGAATAGGTGCAGTTTTCATACTTATGGCTCTTTTTTTTTTAATCAGCCTACAGCAGGCCAAAGTACAAATCCTTCCTGAGCGGGTACTTCCTTCGACTATGTCTGCAGTGCAGCTGGAATCCCACAGCAGATTGCACATTTTTCCTTCTTCTAAGCCTGAAACATGGCAGCATCAACAGATACATCAATGGCGACAGAAATACCAAAAGGTCAGAAGTTAATTATGTTCTTTTGTGACATTTCAAAAATCAATAAAAATTCCATCTCTGTATCTCTTTAAAAAATGTGATGATGTCTATCGACGCTGCTTCTGTTTTAGCAAGCTGCCTGTTGTTTTGGTAGCTTATCAGTTGAAACCAGCACTTGGTAACATATTTTATGTTAGAAAGTTAGATATGAAATAATACATTCGAAAGTTAAAGAAGGCGGTGATGAGGAGTAAACTTATTCTCCACCATCCAACTACGGGATGATGGTGCGTACAGCTTTCGGAATTGAGAAGCAGTATGAACAGCAAGTGGAACACTTTTAGGATCTGCAACTAGACAACCAGTTTGGAAGGGTTGCAATTGGGAAGATGCTAGCCTTCATGTTGTTCAATAGGAATAGGTAGAACAAAGATCAATAGCTCAACTGAAGTTGTAGCCTACAGTGCAAAGTCTAAAAAACTAGGAATTCTGAGATTTGCATTCTTAGCACCAAATTGAAAGCATCAGGTTGGTTTTTGACATGAACTGCATTTATGAAACCAGGTCATGAAAGCAGATGAATCATTGACAAATTCAAGATCAATCTGATTGTGTGCTGTATTTCATATATTCACAGGAGGCTTATTAATTAATACCTAGAACAACAACATGCGTACGAATTGCAGGTGCTAAAATATCTTAGGGAAACTTGTAGATATCCACAATAACCAATATGAATTCAGAGCATGGAGGGAATGGATAAAGGAAATATAATGGCATGCCTTGGTGTTAATGGAACAAGGTCATTGCACAATGCATTTTGTGGAAGGTTTCATTTATGTAATTTTCTCTGGGATAGCTATCCAAGGTCAGGTTGGCTGGCAGTTTTGACCTTAATGCAGAATGTAGTTGTGATGTTTGATATACATAAACCCTGTGAGAATAATTTTCCTCTTTCTTTGATCTAAAATGTTTTTATATAGACTAGCAGAAGGTGATAGGTTGATAGTTCTGACATTTAACCTCCAGGCTGTATGCCTCATGCATGCAAATGTAGATGATTAGTCTGTTTTATGACTACAGCATTGTAAGTTCAGTTTAATTCAACAGTGTTTAATTAGAACACAGATCCAAAACTGACCTCAATATTAAACAAGTATTCTACATTTTGCATCTGGAATCTCCATATTTTACTCCTGATTATTCCTTGACATTTTCCCTTTAATTATAGCTTATAGACTGTAGGCAATTGCTCTTTATTTCTACAGGGGTGGAAGTTGAACTTTTGAATTCATCTGATGTCTTTATCATAGTTGAAGGACCAGATTGGAATCCATAATGATTTTTACTATATGTACTCTCTCTCTCTCTCTTTTGGGTGATGAGAAGATGAGTATACCATACGTTCAAACATCACTTCAAGGGGAAAGGAGAAAGGATAAAACTAGCAACTATTTCTTCATAGTGGCTTTAATCTCTCCATAGAAATTCAGGATATTTGCTGCCACTAGAAACAATAAGAGAAGCCAGAGCAACCATTTTGATGACGTGTAGAATTTAACAAGAGAGCCAGTTTGGTGGAGAGATTAAAGCACAAGGCTAAAACTAGGAAGCTGTGAATTCTAGTCACATCTTGGGGTATAAAACCAACTGGGTGACCCTGGGCTAGTCATTCTCAGTCAGCCCTAGGGAGGATGGGATGGCAAACTACTTCTGAAATCTTGACAAGAAAACTGCAAGCATTAGTTTAGGCAGTCACCAGGAGTCAGCAATGACAAAAAGGCACAAAAGTGTTTAATGAATCAGTGAAGTCTTCAGGAATAAAACTTATCCTGATAATTAGCTCGTCTCCTAGAGAGCTGTATTATATAGATAAGTAGATCTTAAGTTGACATTTAAATTCTCTGGAGAATAAGATGCTAAAGTATATTCATACAAAATCTTGCCAAAGTAGGGCAAAGCAATAAAAGCAGGAATTTAAAAATGGACTTGAAAACCAAGAATATAAAGTAAAGCTTTACAAGAATTTTCTCTTGTCCCAAATTCAAGTTAAATTATATTAAAAATAAAAATGTATAAAACTGGAACTATGACTTGTTCTTTGATCAGAGGAACAGAAAAAAATGTTTTCTGTTCCTAGGTATATAAAAATAGATAAAGGGTTTTGAAATCTGAAATTTGTGCTGCGTTCCTTGGCATTTATGATTGCATATTTCTTCTGTATGTCAGTCATGCACATTTTTATATTTTAATGAGTTTTTTATGCCTTTTAGGGATCCGTAGTGACAATTTCTATCTTTCTGCATTTTTGTCCTTATCTGTTTCTAGCCAGATATCCCTAAAAATTTGTTTCCCTGTCAGCATAAAGCAATCATATATTATTTGTAAAGGCATGCTTTCATAATAATCTTAACTTGTTTGTGCACCTGCTGTGATAACTTCTTTCAGTTCAGAGTTAAAAATTCAATTATTCCCCAAAGCACTAGTTTTAACTATTTTTTTAAAGTCTTAGAATAATCTTCCAGTACCAGATTCTTCAATGCTTTAGTTTATGATTAGAAAAGCAAGGTTGTTTTTTTTTTCCCTGTAATGACTTTCTGGTTTATCTTTGTTGATGAAGGATAACTTATTTCTCTTGTGATAGGTGGTCTTTAATGCTCATTCCCTGCTAACAGCTGTGCTGGGGGAAGATGAGGGTTATAATCCAGTGTAGGCTGAAAAAGACTGAAATGGGTGTGACTTTCATGAAAAGACCTCAGGATTCTCATTCTTGGTATTTTGCACGATCGTACTACATAAAGGCTATGTATTTGTTTATTTAGAGACAATGGATCTTTCAGTGGAAAGTAAATGGAAAAGACTACTGAAAAATAAATGGAAAAGACTTCTCCCTTTGTATTTGATTTATTGACTTCCCAGATGGGTTAATGGGACACTCCAGGAAACTCCTTGATCCTATCCAGTTACCTTTCCCTTCATTCAACTTTGCCAAACAGCAAAATGGCTGTCTGAGGAAGCTTTGCAAATAGCTGAGGAAAGAAGGGAAGCGAAAGGCAAAGGAGAAAGAGAAAGATACACCCAATTGAATGCAGAATTCCAGAGAGTAACTAGAAGAGATAAGAATGCCTTCTTAAATGAACAGTGCAAAGAAATAGAAGAAAACAACAGAATAGGGAGGACCAGAGATCCCTTCAAGAAAATTGGAGATATGAAGGGAACGTTCCATGCAAAGATGGGCATGATAAAGGACCAAAATGGCAGAGACCTAACAGAGGCAGAAGAGATTAAGAAGAGATGGCAAAACTACACAGAAGAACTATACAAGAATGAGCTTAACATCCCAGATAACCACAATGAGATGGTCATTGACCTCGAACCAGACATCCTAGAATGTGAAGTGAAATGGGCCTTAGAAAATCTGAGCAACAACAAAGCTAGTGGAGGTGACAGTATTCCAGCTGAGCTATTCAAAATCTTAAAAGACGATGCAGTAAAAGTGCTACACTCAATTTGCCAGCAAATTTGGAAAACTCAACAGTGGCCACAGGATTGGAAAAGGTCAGTTTACATTCCAATTCCAAAGAAAGGCAATGCCAAAGAATGTTCAAACTATCGCACCATTGCACTCATTTCACATGCTAGTAAAGTTATGCTTAAAATCCTACAAGCTAGACTCCAGCAGTATGTGGATCGAGAACTACCAGAAGTACAGGCAGGATTTCGAAGAGGCAGAGCAACTAGAGATCAAATTGCCAACATATGCTGGATCATGGAAAAAGCTAGGGAGTTCCAGAAAAACATCTACTTCTGCTTCATTGACTATGCTAAAGCCTTTGATTGTGTGGATCAGAACAAATTGTGGCAAGTTTTTAAAGAGATGGGAGTACCAGACCATGTCATTTGTCTCTTGAGAAACCTATATGCGGGTCAAGAAGCAACAGTGAGAACCGAACACGGAACCACTGATTGGTTCAAAATTGGAAAAGGAGTCTGGCAAGGCTGTATACTGTCGCCCTGCCTATTTAACTTATATGCAGAGCACATCATGAGAAAGGTAGGGCTAGATGAATCAAAAGTTGGAATTAAGATTGCCGGGAGAAATATCAACAGCCTAAGATATGCAGATGATACCACTCTAATGGCAGAAAGTGAAGAGGAACTAAAGAGCCTCTTGATGCGGGTGAAGAAGGAGAGTGCAAAAGTTGGCTTGAAACTCAACATTAAGAAAACCAAAATCATGGCATCCGGCCCTCTCAATTCCTGGCAAATAGATGGGGAAGAAATGGAGGTAGTGACAGATTTTATTTTTCTGGGCTCCAAGATCACCTCAGATGGGGACTGCAGCCAAGAAATTAAAAGACGCTTGCTCCTGGGGAGGAAAGCTATGGCAAATCTAGACAGCATACTAAAAAGCAGAGACATCACCCTGCCAACAAAAGTGCGTATAGTCCAGGCCATGGTTTTCCCAGTTGCAATGTATGGCTGTGAAAGTTGGACCATAAGAAAGGCTGAGCGCCAAAGAATTGAGGCCTTTGAACTATGGTGCTGGAGAAGACTCCTGCGAGTCCTTGGACTGCAAGGCGTTCAAACCGGTCAGTCCTAGAAGAGATCAACCCCGACTGCTCTTTAGAAGGCCAGATCCTGAAGTTGAAACTCAAGTACTTTGGCCACCTAATGAGAAGGAAGGATTCACTGGAGAAGAGCCTAATGCTGGGAAAGATTGAGGGCAATAGAAGAAGGGGACGACAGAGAATGAGATGGCTGGATGGAGTCACTGAAGCAGTAGGTGTGAATTTAAATGGACTCCAGAAGATGGTAGAGGACAGGAAGACCTGGAGGAACGTTGTCCATGGGGTCGCGATGGGTCGGACACGACTTCGCAATTAACAACAACAAATTTTTCTCCAATCCATCATCCATTTGCACCATGTGCCCATAATATATCAGATTTTATTAGTGATTGTAAATAAAGAACTATCTACCTGTACACTCTTTCTTCATTTAGCGATCACAGATCCATTCCATAAATCAGAAGCGAAATGGTTGCTGCCGTCTTATCCAGATAAAGTTATTTCAAGCAGCAATGCCAGTATTACTCTCACTTTGGCATGCATTCTTGTCAAATGTAGAAATCTGGTTGCAAGTGTTAGCATTGCTTGGAAATTTTTAATTTTTCTTATTGCTACTATTATTATTCACAAATGGCCACTAAACAAGGTAACTGCTAAATGAGGAGTGGCTGTATTCACCTTTAGTTAAAGAGGCAGAATTTAGCAGATGAAAAAAGGACAGTGTATGTTTACTCTACCCTATGATTATATCCAATTTTAATTGGATTTGATGGCTAGAATTTGTAAAAATTACTGCATTTCTAAAATAATAATGATGATGTGTGATTATATTGCAATCCTTGGAATTAATACTGTGAAAACTAATTTGATGGTGCCTCACCTTAGTATACATATGTAATTTTTAATTCAAATATATATGCGCTTGGGAATAAGTTTCATTCATTTTAAAGCAAATTTCTGCCGCTTCCAATTAGATGTTCTGAAATTCCAAAAGTGTGCTTGTTCCTGGTTATAGGGAGCAGAGCTGAATAGCAATGCCACTGCAAGATAAATTGAAAGTGGAAAGGACATTATTATATAAAATATTTTAAATTGGCTGACTTTTTAGAGGTGCTCTCTCTTACCTTTGTTATGTAGAAAAGTATAGATCTATAATAAAGAAAATATTTTTGTGTTAACAGCGCAAGTTTCACTGTGCTAGTCTGACTTCCTGGCCATCGTGGTTATATTCTTTATATGATGCTGTAAGTATCAATGAAGATTTCCATCCTGCTCTGTATTGTGTTCAACCTTTTGCACTCTGTTGTGCTCTTTTGCATTGCCCAATAATCTTGTGTACATATAGTGCTTGAACATGATTTGAATTGTGCTTTTTACTCTGCTTAATTTATTTGCTTTATTTGCATGCAGAAAGCAACCTCACCATCTTTACATCATAAAGATATACTGACATAACTCCAAATTAAATAATTCAATAATAATACAATAAACAAAACGTGACCATTCTCCAAACATCTTGCAGAACAACTATCTTGATTAGCTTCCTGAAGTGCAACCATGAGGAGCTCAGCTTAATCTGAAGAAAGGGGTTACTAATCTAAGGAACATTGTCTACAGATTCCACTCCTCAGATAACAAAGCCCTAGGAATCTATTTAAAAACAGTGGGATGTGTGCACTGTCACATTTAAGCAGGAATGTGCACAGGAGGCACTGAAATGGGCATTGCCATACAATTCTGAACTATATAAGTCCTTATAGCTTCAATTTATATCTATAGGTATTTTGAATTCTACCTATAAACCTATTGGTAACCAATGCAGTACCCATACAATGAGTGTAGTCTCCAGTGGCAGCCCATGTAGAATATATTGCTGTAATCATGACTTGTGACAGTAAGTGCATGAATTATTGTGGCTAGGGTCTCCCAATCCAGCACTGACTAGAGCAGTCAGTGCTGTTTCGGGCTCTTAAGTGTAGAAAATCTGCTACTCCGCAGTTTGTTTTTGGCTGACAGTCCCCTGTTATGGTGCCATTTTTTTTTTCTCATTCTAGGTTGCCACCCCCATCCCAACAACTTTCCATAGAAATTGGTGGCTGAAGGCTAGGCAGTTGTTCTCCAAGCTTTTCAGGCCCACAGTGGCTCTTTGATGAGGAGATGTGTCAGTATCTTCTTAAGGAGATACCTTTCAAGGAAATTTTACTTCAGGTTTTCAAAGCAGATCTGATTTTACTGGAAGTTAGAGGTTTTAAGGCTTTTCTACCCTATTTATAGAGACCGCTTTAAAGTATCAGACTTTGTTTTTATTAAAGGTATGCCATTGCTATCGACAAAGCATCATAGAAATGTGTACAATTAATAAGTAAAATAAGATGTCTTCAATAAATTAAGCTCCTTCTGTTGGTAGAGTTATAATCCGTATATTGCCACTATTTCCTTTTTGCTTTCCATTCTGAGCTAATTGTTAGTCTACTTGCATTTGGTATATAAAGGCGTATAATTGGAATAAGTTCATGAATTCTAGTTTCTGGTTAAAAAAAAATCATTTCAGGGCATTGTTAAGGTTTGTCGACTAGCTATGCCAATATCTCACCCTTAGTTTATCCGTTTCATGATCTAGGTTCTAGGGCCAACTTCATCTCTTCATTATCTAGGGCCAACTTCATATCCATTCTGTCAATGGAGGAGAACCTTTGCAAAAACACAGTAGAGATTTGTGTCAAGTAATTGGAAGAGGGGCAAATCTGTCCCTACTGAATTTTACAGACAAGGGAGGAGATGGTCCTTATTGCCGGTGAACAAGATGATTCGTCTTAATGTTGTTTGTTAATATTTCCCCCAGCATTCAAAATATAGCATTTTAATTTTAAGGAGCTTAAACTGCAGTTATAATGAGAAATGCTTTTTCTCGACAATTCCCTTTTTCTTATTTTGTTAACAAAAAAAGAAGTTTTTATGTTTAAATTAGGTTTTTCTTATAACACAAGGAAACCTTGATGGAACGAGTCAAGGACCAGCTTCATGAATGGGATGAAAATCTGAAAGATGAATCACTTCCATCAAATGCAATAGGTACATTATTTATTAAATAATGAATTATATTGGTGGTAATAAGTCTTCATCAAATCAGTTTATTAGTTAACTGATCCTACAATCACAACTGAGTTACAAACCAACGTTCTGCTGCTTTGTATATTTATTGTGACTTTTTATAAAGAGGTGAAATTGCATCCATTTACCCAAATTGTTAGAAGAACACCAGGAAAACATCAGCAGTGCTACACGTTACATTCCTGTGTGGAAACCATTTGCAATATCTTGTGTGTTGCAGCTAATAGTTGTTGAGTTACAATACATATTTCCATTAATATGGGAAATCTAATAGGAGAACGGACAGCTTTATGTAGTTCTGCAGATGACAACACTGTAACAAACAAGAACTATTACTGTAAATACCAGTTTGTCTTTCCTTTTTTTAATCTGGTTATTATACATTTGTCCTAATTTGCTGTATGTATAATGTGGCTTTATAGAGTTGCATCAGAAGAGCAGTAGCATCACTCTGTCAAAATTGCAGATCTGCTAGTTTTTTATAATTATATTGTTCCTTAAGATACTGTGGTATTACATGTATAGCATGCAAACTATAGTAAAACTAAGCATAGTTAATATCTTCCTAGAGAAAGCAGTCTGATTTGTTCCAGCTGATCTGAAGTTAAGAGAAGTTAATTGTGAATAGTGATAGGTTTTAATGCTCTGCCTAGATGTAGTTTGGTTAAGTCTTTTGTCTCTCTTCAAATGAACCTTGTTTTTCTTTCAGATTTTTCATATAGAGTTGCAGCATGCCTACCAATTGATGATGTTTTGCGAATTCAGCTGCTTAAAATTGGTAGTGCTGTTCAGAGACTGCGCTGTGAATTAGATATTATGAACAAAGTGAGTGAGTAACTCTTAACTTCCTTCAGTTGTATTATGCTTAACAAGATTCACTCCCATTGGGACTTATTTTTGGGGAGACTTAAATGTGAAATGTATGCTGAAAACGGATCACCCAATATTTTTATTGTGTCCTGACTATTCAAAATAATAATTGTTTTACCTTTTACTGGTATGATATCCAGAGATGAGGGGCTATCCCACATTGTTGTAGCCATGTGAATATTTCTTAACATGGCATAAGGCTTTTAAATTAACAATTTCAACTTTTCTACCTAGTGATGATTTAGCCTTCATGTGATTGTTTGAACATGTGAAACATGTACATGTGTAATTTCATTTCTTATTAAACCAAAAAAAAAAAAAAACTTTAATTAGGTTGTATGTCTGAAGAGCAGACCAAAATTTTGCATGTAGTTTACCAAAGGGTTAGCGAGCTGTGGGATGGGAGCACAGATGTTTACCATATATTTATGGATTATTTCAAATAATAATAATATGATACCCTTCCAAAGCAATAATTATTTACTGAAATAATTATTCAGTTATCTGGTTCTAGTCTTCATGGCAAGAATTGCATGTTCCAGAATATACAGTAAAAACACATTTTGCAGCAGTTTTGATTTGAATAAATGTTAAACCCAATTTATTTGTCTATAATATTTGGATAATATAAGAATTAATATAGTTATTGTACAAAAACAGGAGGAATGACTATTATCCATATTTACTGCCTTGAGTTACTTATCATTAATAAAGGCAGGATAAAAATAAAATTAATTGTTTAGATACTTATTGTTATTTGAATTGTAGAATGGCAATTTATATCTAAAATCTTTTATAAATAAAAACTTGAGTTTCTTGATCCAGAAACTCAATTTTCTTTTCCTGTATAATATTTGCCTTCTTGTTTGTAGTGTACCTCTCTTTGCTGTAAGCAGTGTCAAGACACAGAAATAACTACTAAAAATGAAATATTCAGGTGAGATTTTAAAGTTATTTTGTACATCTCTTAGTTTGTATTGTCTCACATAATATGCCATCGTGAGTTTCTTGAAAAAAAAAAAGCAGGATACCTTTTAATAAAAACAAACAAATATGAAATTATTATCTAGCAATTATCCAGATGTCTGGGAGTTGAGTAATGTATATTAATTCATAAAGCTTTTACGTTCTTTTCAGATGATTAGGTTTCAGATCAAAATAAGACCTGTCCAGGACACCATAACATCATAAATCAATATAACATTACTGATATTAAAACTGAAAAGTGATCACAAAAATAATAACCACACATGAAACAATGCAGTAAAAGTCTTGATGAGGATCTTCAGCTAGTAGTGAAAGTTGTGACTAAGGAAAGAGGAAATTCCACAATTGGGCTCCAGGGTCAAAAATAGCCTGCCTTAAGAATCTTCTGAATTATTCACAAGAATAGGTGTGCTTTCCTTGCTCAATCTCAATTGTAGAGATTTATAAAAAGGCATCCCATTCAAAATTATATAGGGCTTGATACAGTGGGGCAAAAAAGTATTTAGTCAGCCACCAATTGTGCAAGTTCTCCCACTTAAAAAGATGAGAGAGGCCTGTAATTGTCATCATAGGTAGACCTCAACTATGAGAGACAAAATGAGAAAACAAATCCAGACAATCACATTTGGTGGCCCACTGTATGTCAGAAGCTCTTTGAACTTGTCCTGGTTGGATATTAGCATCCAGTGCAACTCCTTTAGGACAGAGGCAAAATCCCTGTAGGTGGATTGCATTGGCAGTCCAAGATACAGTATTTTGCACTTGTATCTTCTGAATTGTTTGAAGAGGTTCCTTGGTTCGTTTGGACTGACCGTCATCTAGGGTAGCTAACCTCACTAATTCCTAGAGGAATACATATCTATGGTGTCTTTGTCTTGATGGGATGTTGCTTATAATATTGGCTCTTACTAAGCTACAGTCTGCATGGCCTCTCCTGATAAAGATGATACAGAGAAATAGAGTTAAGTATGATCATATTGATGGCTTCCATATGTACAGGTGAAAATTGGAAGAACTTTGTGAAACAACATAATTTTATTCTACTTCTGAACAATTCTACAACCATAGAAGTTGACAAAGATGATTCCATAAATATGCAAAACAGCAAATATTACCTTTGGCTTCCATTATTATTGCCAATACCTATTTTTTGCAGTAACCCACGTGTTGAAGGCTTTTTGAAGCTTGGCTGATATATCTGTTAAAATACTCAGTTAGGGATATAGTTCTTGGAAAACAATCACTTTTGTGCTTTTGCCATTATCATGTTTTAAAACTCTTTGTAGTTTATCCCTATGTGGACCTATGGCAGCCTATGTGAATCCTCATGGCTATGTGCACGAGACCCTTACTGTCTACAAGGCCTGCAATCTGAATCTGAATGGCAGATCTTCCACAGAGCACAGCTGGTTTCCTGGGTAAGTTATTTTATTTTTTTATTTTATTTTATTTTCTGTTTTTTTAATTTTTGTTTTGTTTTATTATTTATTTTATTATATTTTATTATTTTATATTTTATTTTATTATTTTATTTTATTTACACTGCCCACCTCACTATTTCAAATGGTTGGCTTATGGCAATATAAGGCACTAAAAAGATTCAATGCTAGAGATAGATATAAAAGTATTAAAAGATTACAATTAATTTTAACAACAGCTAAATAAATGAAAGGTTTAAACCAAGAGCACGGATGGTACGGAGTAGATGTTTGTCTCTTGCTCCGTCAACCACCTCCAGCATATGTGTATGGAGATTCTCAGTCATCCGGGTCATAGTTATCCCAAAGATGCTTTTCCACAAAGAAGAAGCTTCAGTGTGCCATTTTGCATTATTTCTCCATTACTGAAGCAAAAACTACCTTGCATATGCCAAGCCATCAAAGGAATTAAAATGTAAATAGAAAAAAAAAAAATGAGAAGTTCATTAATACCATCTCCTTAATGCTGAAGGAGGAAGGAAAAACAGCCCGGCTTTTTCTCCAACTAACGAAAAGCTTCTATTTTTTTTTTAAAGCCATTTTAATTTTTTTATGACTCTAGTGTATGTTTAATTTGTGCCAGCCATATGTGGTTTAACCAATTCTGACATTTATGGGGAAGTACTCTCAGTCCCCATATATTATTAGAATGTCAGTGGTTTTGAAATAGTGCCATTTAGGAATCTGATGCTTTAATATTAGAAGAGGTTTCTGGTTTGTGTTTTAGAAAAATCCTGGACAAAGTAGTTTAAGGCCATTTCTGAAATGTTATTGTTCGCATTCAGTTCTGCCATTATGCAAATGTGCATGTACGTGAATCCTTATTTTAAACGCTGTAATAAATGTTGATAGTTTGAAATCTGCTTTATATGATTTTAGAGCTATTATAAATGTCTTGCCGCCTTGTAAATATATTTGTCAGTCATGAAGGCTAACATAAATGCTATCCACTTCTAGATATGCATGGACTATAGCTCAGTGCAGCATCTGTGCAAGCCATATGGGTTGGAAGTTTACTGCAGTCAAGAAGGAATTGTCACCTCAAAAATTCTGGGGACTGACCCGTTCTGCTCTGCTGCCAAGAATTCCAGAAAAAGAAAATGAATCTGGGCAAGAAAGATCGCTAGTGCTTTGCCTTTGATCTGGGCACCTTACTCAGAACAAACTAAAAGTAGTTTGTGTCTCGAAGAAAAAAGTATTAAAAGTATCTGCCTCTGGGATCTGGTTGTATATTTGAACTTTATGAAAAAGGCACTGTTACTTCCGAAGGCCCTGAAAAATTTAATATTTTGAAGATGTACAAAATGTGAAACGGAACGTGAGAATAAAGCAGACAGTTTCATGTTTTCTGGCATGTACTGAATTGAACAGCTCGGATTTACAGCTGCTCTTTAATAATGTAAGAAGACATCTAATGTTGTTGAGGAGCTAAAGCTGAGTAGAAGTGACATGAAGACTATATAACTTAAAAGTGTGCGTAATGATAGCTATAATCTATTGCCCGCTGTTTTAAGGTATTTTCCTGTAGAATGTGGTGAATTTACTAGAATACCTGTTTTCTACCTGTATGAAATAGTTTACAGGTACCACTAGCATTTGCTTCAATAAGCCTTAAAAAGACAAGGAGACCCAGTCTTCTAAAAAGGAGTGTGCAGCTCCTAAGATCAGACTCTAGCTCAGCGGTCCCCAACCTTTTGAGCACCAGGGACCGGTTCCATGGAGAAAGGTTTTTCTGCAGACAGGAGGGGGCATGGTTTCATGTACTGCCTGCATCCCGCAGAGGGGTCTTTGCTTGTTTGCGCAGCCCGGCTTCTGGCATGCCGCGTCCGGGTGCCGGTCCACAGACTGGGGGTTGGGGACCCCTGCTCTGGCTTACTGTAGAAGCACGCATTGAAGCCTGCTGCTCAGAAAATCTACGAAATGCAACTCTGGTTAAAACCAGACTGTTTGTGTTTGCTTTATCTCCTTTATAGGATTTTCACTCCATTTGGCATTTTCAGATTTCCTTTTTTAAAAAAGTAGAAATGTAGGTTAGTTGTTTCTGCCTCTAGCAGCATAATAAAGGGTATGATTTTCGAGATTGATCTCTCCAGTGCATTTCAGTTAATCATAACACAAAAGTTTATAATTAAATGTTTTGAAGCATTATGTATCTTTTTACGTGTCTAGGGACTTGACATCGCAGTTGTTCATAAATTATATATTTGGTATTGGAAAACAGCAGACATCTTACTACTCTTTGTAATTTCTTATCTGAAGCTGAGGGATTGCGGGGTAATAATGCTTCTGATAAAAACTTGTTTTCAGGAGATAGTATGGTATAGAAATGGGTGCCAAAAAGAAGAAATAAAGACTTAATACATTGTTTTTTCCAGAATGCACTTCAGTAAATCCACAGGTATCAGATTTGTTTCATAGAAATATGTAGTGAGCTTGTTAATAATATGTGTTGAGTTACCTTGCTGAAATAAAAACTTTGCTGAAACGTTTTTAGTAATTTCATACATACTATCATATTTCCTGTGAGATGTTATTTTGAAACAAACATCTAACTTTAATGATGGCATTTATTGTATTAGTTGAAAACATGTTCTGAGTGTCAGTGTCATTCACCCCCAAGACTTAATGTACATCAGCAAATAAGTTTGTGACTCAGGGCTAATTACTTCTACCTCTGGTATAGTGGCATTTTATTTCTCATCACAGTTACAACTGAACTGTCTTCTTGTGCTTCAACACCGTCTCTCACCTAGTCAAAAGCAATATTAGCTGTCATCTCTTTTTGAATAGAGCGAGATAAGGGCATCTTACTGAATGAAAATTTTAGATTATTTTTTATTTTTCTTGTGTTATAAAAATGTATTGAAAGCACTTGATTGGGGGGGGCAGACTGTAGTGAACAAATACAATACTAGTCGCCATACTAGTAGCTATGCATGGACTATATAACTCAGTGTAGGATCTGTGAAAGCCATATGGGTTGGAGGTTTATTGCAACAAAGGAGTAACTTCTTCAATAATTAAAGTTATTGTGGACTTGGTTTTTCAAGTGGTGAAGTTCCTGAAGTTCTGGTTCCTTTCTAGTTTTGTTCTGCTATGGATGAAGTGATAGCCAATAAGTTTAATTTTCAGCTCCAGTCTGTGCATCGTTTTTATTATTTTATTTTATTAAATTTATCTAGCTGCCCATCTCATGAAAAGGGACTCTGGGTGTTACACAACAATTAATTTTAACTCCTTATACCTGTTCCTAGTAAAATCCCCTCTCACCCATTTCATTTTTCTGCCAAGAATAAAATGTAACGCTTACATTGGAATATCCATCTTAATAGATCTATTCTCTTTCTCTGTCTTACCATATGGAACAAGGTTTTTATTCGCCACAATTCAGATGGAGGAGTGAAGTCCTATTTTTCAATCAGTCTTGGTTCAGTGGCTCCCAGGGTGTGTAGATTATCACAAATGTGCTAAGATCTGTTCCTGACTATTACGCTCATAAAGGTGAAAGAGCTGACACATTAGTCTCACTTTTCATTGATACAGCTTTCCCACAAATAGCCTGCATCATATATGGCTAGGCCCCTCTATCAAAATGGCAACAGATGAATGGCAGGGATTAAAGTTATGCTTAAAATTTATGTGGTTTGAGTTTAATTAGAGTTTAAGCAAGGCTTTCTTAAAAAAAAAAAATACTTGGACCCTGACATAATTTATTGAGATCATAAATAAATATTTTTTCAGTTTTCACTTAATGTTGACTATTATGTGTGTTGCCTCACTCTGTGATAGATTTAAGATTAATAAACTAATAGCATATTCTAATTCTTAAGTAAGCATGAGTTCAAGTTACTGCAAAGGTAATATGCTGTATCCTGCTAGTGTGAAATTGGCTATTGTCCTCCCAATTAATTCTGCAAGGCATATGCTTTGTAGCAGGGTGTCAAACTGCCGGCCCGTGGGCCAGATGCATCATAGCGAAACCACGCCACCCCATTGCTGGCAATGGCAAAAAAGTTGTGATACGTCATGGCACGTCATGTGACATTGCGAGTTTGACACCCCTGCTTTATAGTTTCAATATAGATCCATTAATGCATCTCTTTATTAGCTCAGTTTCTCTATGTTTGTATAAGTATTGTGGGGTTTACTTCCAAAAATTGGAGAGAAGGGGAAAAATGGGAATTAACGTGTTTAAACAGATAATAAAATGAATTAGTTTCCCTTTCAGTACTTACTGCAGAAACTAAGGAAATATTACAAATATTTGCATCTTTATTTTTTTTCTAAAAGCAGTACCATTAAGACTTTAAATCTGAAAATTTATTGCTGCATCATAAAAAGGTTTTATTTTGCTTGTCACTGTCTTTTTAAACAAACCATCTTTTTCTTGGAAGCAAACCAAGTGAAATGAGAATAGAATAGAATAGAATATAGAATAACAACAGAATAGAATTTTTATTATGCTCACTGATTTAAATGAAAGCTGTTGTGATTTCAACAAAGTACTTTTATATCATTTATTCTTATTAAATTTCTAAATCAGACATCATTTGGTAATTCGTTATGATTTTCAAACTAATAATGCTTTAATAGCAAATCATGACTGAATTGAACTTACATTTTCCTTCTGACCCAAGTATATTCACAACTTTGTATATTGCTATCAGTATTTTTCCAGTTGGGCCTAGTGGTTAAGGCATCAGGCTGCAAAGCAGAAACTAGGTACTGTTTTAGCCATGAAAGCCAACTGGGTACTGTATATTCCGGCATATAAGGCGACCCGGCGTATAAGATGACCCTCGTCTTCGGCACCAAGTCGCATGCCTAGAAAGTCATACGCCGGAAACTACCGTTATTTCCGGCGTATAAGACGACTCGGCATATAAGACAACCCCCGTCTTTGGCACCAATTTTAAAGCTTGCGAAAGTTGTCTTATACACTGGAAAGTACGGTAATTTGGGCCAGTCAATCTCTTTTAGCCCACCTCATCTCACAGAGTGGTTGTGAGGAAAATAGGAAGGTAGATTAGATGTGTTTGCTGCCTTGAGTTATTTGTAAAAATAATAAAGGCAGGATACAAATAAATGAAAAAAATACAGGACAAATAAAATCTCAAAGGCTGAGAGAATCACATTTTTTGTAAGTGGTCTTTATAATAAAAATTGTTCATCAATCAAAGATCTGTAATCCAAAATATTCCATCATCTCAAGCAATGAAGTGTGTTTCTCTTGCAGGGAAATAGTTCCACAACATAGCTCTGAAAGTCAGTTAATATTTATATTTGTAGTTCAGGCAGGCGAGTTTCAAAATAGTTCATCCCTGCCACACCGATAAGCAGCCCAAAAGTCCCCCCCTTTTCCCAGCTGCAGTCTTCAAATGTGAAAATTTCCAAGGACAGACCGTAAGAATCTTATCTAAAACTGGGCTTCAAGCCAAGTTTCCTTTAGGCATAGCAAATTGTAGTGCCATAATTCGCCACTAGATACCATTAGTGCCGTTTTCCAGCTTTTTTTAAAAAAAGTCTCAAAAACATTTTTAGTCCCCAAATTTCAAAGCCATATATGTGATTAATTCCAAATTAATCTTGTAATTTTCTCTTTTCCCCAAGTAATTAGTTTGCCGCTTTTCTTTTTGTGAGGGAATGAGATGGAAATTCCCCTTCCCTCTCCCATTGGGGGGGGTGCTTTGGGTAGTTTTTTCCAGGAAGAAGTCTTAGAGTCTCACCCAGTTTCATCCACATTGCTGAAAGGTTGCTTGTTAGTGCTTATTGTCTTCTGTTGTCAGTAGCCAGTCTTTCCCCCGCTGGTTTGAAGGGCTTCCTCGGATCAAACGGAAGGGCTGCCACCCTCCTGCAATCAATGAGGGTCCCCTCCTTGCTTGTCGCCTCTACAGGGTGACTTTCGACCGTTTCCAGGATCCCCAGTGGGGCAAAATCACATGTGAAAGACGGAGCCCTGTCTTCCTGAGCCCATTTCACCGCAACGGCAAAAACGGAAGCTCCAGAATCACACATTTTTTATTGTGTGTGAAGCAATCAGCTTTTTAAAGAGCTTCACATTACTAAATTCTATTTAGATCGAAGTCTCATAAATCATTACTATTTTCCTCCATGTGATGATGCTATTTATGTTTTGATACCTCACTTTGATTTACCTTTTGAATTTCATTTTCAGAAATTCATTCTTTTTGCTTTGTCAGCTTCATCATGGGCTTTCATAAAGAAACATATTTCTTGTTTTAAACTGAATCTTGCTTCAGTTGTATGGCTGAATGCACTCAAAATCATAAAATTCAGATCATACTACAAATAATCTTTAGCATTCTTTAAAAGTTGATAAATACAACCTCAGATGAACAACAACTCTTGACGTATTACACCATGTCATCATTTATTTTACAGAAATATAGGCAAAATGGAGAAGCCAGGTGTGAAAAACTAAGTACACACTTAACTGCTTCCATAGGTATGAAGAGGCTAAGTAGCAGCTGCTAATCCCATGCCCTTGATCAATTGATCATCAGCAAGTGTGATCACCTCTATAAAAGCTGAAGTTTTAAGAGTTTGCTGGTCTCCAGCCTTAAGGTGTATGTTAACACAATATCAAAGAGTAAAGACATCAGTAATGATCTTAGAGAAGCAATTGTTGCTGCCCAACAGAGAAGCAACAATTGCTTAGAGAAACAATTGTTGATGGGCAGAGAGTTATAAGGCCATTTCCAAACAATTTAAAGTGTGAAACATTCAAGCCATTTGCCAATCTTCCCAAGAGTGGACATCCCAGTAAATGCACCCCAAGATCAGTCCATGCAATGCTCAGGGAGTTTGCCAGATATCCAAGAGTTACTCTATAGGCCTCAGCATGTTAAATATTGAACTTCATGACAGTACAATTAGAGAAAGACTGAACAAGCATGGTTTGTTTAGCAGTGTTGCCAAACAAACTCTAAAAAACATGGCAGCACAGTTTAGGTTTGCAAAGTTACATCTGAACAAATCGCAAGATGTCTGGAACACTGTCCTTTGGACAGGGGAGACCAAAGTGGAAATATTTGGCTATAATGCACAGTGCCATGTTTGGCAAAAACTAAACACGGCATATGGCATAAACATCTCATACCAATCATAAAGCACAGTGGTGGAGAGGTAATGATTTGAGCTTGTGTTGCAGCCGAAGGACCTGGGCACCTTGCAGTCATTGAGCTGACCATGAACTCTGTATACCAAAGTATTCTAGAGTCAAATGTGAGGCCATTTGTCCAAAAGCTAAAGCTTAACTGACATTGGGTCATGCAATAGGACAATGATCCCAAGCATACCAGCAAATCTACAACAGAATGGCTGAAAAAGAAAAGAATCAAGGTGTTGCTCCAGTCAAAGTCCACACCTCAACCCAATTGAAATGCTGTGGCGGGACTTCAGAGAGAGCTGTGCATAAACAAATGCACTACAAACCCTAATGATCTGAAGCAAAGTTGTAAACAGGATTGGGCCAAAATTTCTCCATGATATGAGAGTCTGATAAAGTCATACAGAAAATGCTTTACTTCAAGTTATTGCTACTAAAAGTTCTACAACAAACATATCAAATTCGCAACGCAATGTATAGGAACTTTTTCCCCATTGCCAGCAATGGGGTGGGCGTGGTTTTGTCATGATGTGTCTGGCCCACAGGCTGGCAGTTTGACACCCATTGTACAAGCTAGTCATAAGGTGTACTTTGTTTTTCACATATGGCTTTTCCATTTTGCCTTTTTGTTAAAATCAATGACATGGTGTAATATGTCATGTGTTGTTCATCTGAGGTATTTACCTACTTTTAAGAACTGCTAAGGACCGTATGATTATTACTATATCCTGGTACGTAAAAGTATAGAACTCAAGAGTTCTATGTAATTTTTTTCACATGACTGTAGTTCCTCTTTGCCATTTCCTAACATTATGGACCTTGATTCCCTAAAACATCCACTGTATTGTCCCCCTTGTAAATTTTAAGTATTTTCTTTAAATCATCAGCCCTTTTGCATACACCATTTTGGACGTGTCCACAAGTCCATAAACATTGAAATGGCAACAACTAAATTTAGAGATAAAAAGTCTGTAGAGCAAAGATTACGAACAATTTGGCCTATTGTGCTCAGATCTCTAATTATACTTTTGTATTAATTTGTGCATCTGTCAGTAAATGGGGGTCTCTGACCATAAACAGATTAGTAACAATCATCCTGCAATCCAACCATAACTGTGGTTTTCTCAGGTTGCTATCCATATACAAAATATTGTCTGTTGTATATTTTCATTCCAGAATTGAATAAGTTTTTCAGATTCAAGCTTTTCCATTAGAGCAGCATACATTGAAACTTTTTGCAGGATAAGCTGTAATGTCGGCCAATCCCTCCAATCCTAATAGCATAGTGGTACTCTCCAAGTATGTCTCTAAAACATGTGCAATCTAAAGTGAATTCCAGGAGAAAAGCAAATTAAAAACAAACAGAAGTTTTTAGCTTTCTAGGTTAAGGGACGTAGAAAAGTATCATGGAAATACATACAACTAGTAGTCGTCAACTTATGACCACAAGTGAGACAATAATTTCCACTGCTAAGCAAGGCAGTTGGTTGTTCAACTGGTTGTGCCCAATTTGCTACACTTTTTTGCCATGATTAAGTGAATCATTGCAGTTAAGTGAATCCAGCTTCCCCCACTGACTTTGCATGTTGAAAGACTGCCCGGAAGGTCGCAAATGGTGACTGTGTGATTACCATGATGCTGCCATTATGGTAAATACATGCCAGTTAATATGCACCTGAATTCTGACCAGGTGACCGTGGGAATGCTATGACAGTCATTAAGTATCACATTTCTCAGTGCCATTTTAACTTTGAATGTTCACTAAACAAATGGCTTTAAACTGAAGACTATCTGTAATGCATTCATTAGGGTTAAGGTTGTACTCTCCATTTTGTCCCCGTGCTCATATTCCCGAATCAATATTCTTCATGTACTGACTTAGAATTAAGGGAAGGTACAATATTAGTTGGTTTCTGATAAACCAATTTCTCAGAAGGACAGAGAAAATGCAAAATACAGTACATAGGATAAAACCTGACATATATTAAGATGGCCTGACAGCATTATGATCAAATTAAATATTAAATTTTCCATTATTAGAAATTGGTTCTCGTGAAGTCTAGACTGAAGAAATAGTCATATTTATTTATATTTCCTCTTTCTAAACTGCCCATCTCCCTCAGATAATTGCAAATTAGAATTTGAAACTGCATTACCACCCAGAGATCTTTCAGCATGCACCTTGAACAAAACCTCTTCTGTACTGTATTGTTCGCAATATAAAATTGGCTCCTACAGGTTGCCACCTAGTGGATAGAAACTTCTATGTCATTATCCAAATTCATCAACCCAGCAAGAACATTTTCACTACAGTCCTAAATATACTGCCAAGAATTAATCCCACTGAGCTTATTGTAACTCATTTTGCAGCATTAGGTAAGACTTATAGGATCAAGTTTATAAACCCACTGTAGGCTTTTGTAACATATTCCAAGTTAAAAAATGAGGAAAGCTGGGACTTTGTGTAATTTGTATTTTAAAAAATCAGTTTTTAATTAGTTCTCAGAATCTTTTCAGGTGCATAGAAACAAAATGAATGAAAAGTGCTCAGCTCAATATAAATATTAGAAATGCTATCCTTGTACCTAAAAGCTTTTTTGGAATAACTAGTAAATCTTTTTCAGTATCTAAAACTTCAGGTTGTTGTTGTCCATAATGTAATTTGAATTTCAGTGAAGTGATAATGTTTGACAGCATCAGCTGTGGCTAAAATCTGACTGAGGTTCAAGATGATATATGCTTGCTGAGAGTCAGCTCCACTGAATGGATGGGAATCATTTTTGGATAAACAGGAATACAACTGCAATGTTAATTTCCTTAAATTATTTTTCCTTGCTTTTTAAAGTCAACTCAATCCAAAGAACATTTTTGAACAACCCAGATAGTCAGTCAATCTACATACAAGTTTGTTTGTGAGTCAGTGCAACTTGAAGCGTACATTTAATAGTTATTTAATAGTTGAGTAAAAGAATATGAAAGTTATTCATGTATTACCAACCAGATGAACACAAAAACTACCCTATTTGTTTTGGAACTGAAATACAAATAGTCCTAATATTTAGAAATGAAATGTACCCAATAAAATATGCATGTACATGTGAAACTTCATACAAAATTATTTAGTTTCAGCACCATTTGCTTTCACGCCTTCTTTACATAGCTTAAAAGTTCTTCTTTATTCTTTTGATAATCACTTTTTTTCCACTGTTCTCGTAACTGTAGCAAGAGGGGCCCAATGTCTTTTCCTGATGAGATTCCCATTTGTCTTAAGTCATGACCAGTTACAGGAAAAGAGGGTAAAGACCATTCTTGCATTTCTTTCAGAAGTTGTTCTTCTCCTTGGTACTTCAAAAGCTCATGGATTCTGGATGTTGCACAAGACTCCCTTGCCTTCACAAATACAACAAAATGAGAAATATGAGCACAGAGTATTCATAGTTCTTAAGTTCCAATGTAAAACACAAAATATCTCAAACCAGATAAGTCCTCAATCTTCTTAGAGTTCAGACTTTACTTGGCACCATTTTTAAAACAATAAGTACAGAATTTTCTATTTTTTTGGTGAGCGTACATTAAATGTTTTGTTTGTGGTTACATACACAGGGGAACCCAGTCTGTATTTAAGGAATCAGCATTCATCTTCTCACAGCCTTCTTCCTAACTCCTAGTTTATGTATCTGAGATTAAATCAAGAGGACAAAGATGCCTCCAAATAGATCAAATAAAAAGCTGAACAAAAGTTGAGAATTATCCAAAAGAGATTTACTGTACTTACATCTAAAATGAAATCCTGGTACGGTTTAAGAGGCATTGTAGTATCGGAAGCTTTGGTCAAGTCTCTCCTGTGCTTCAACAGGAATAGCCCCAGGTTTTTTTCATCTTTTGATAGTTTCAGTCTTAAATCCAGTTTTGAAAGATCACACGGAACCTTTAACAGTGACGTTAGAATGGTCATTGGTTTGGGGAAAAGATTCTGGACATTTTTACAGACTGTATCAAACTCCTGTAAGTTCCCATTAACAGGTAATCCTGAGGGGATACATATAAAGAAGGGTTTTGAGAAGAAGGTAACTATTAGAAAGCAACAAGAAATCAACTAAGATTGCTAACAAAGCAGTACATGGAATTGCTAGAAAAGCAGAATGTATCATTATTATTACAAGTAATGGCAAAATCAAACTCTAGAGCGCTGTCACTTCAGAACCAATGTAGAACAGGGTTACAGATTCAAGGCTTTTTTAGACCTAGGCCAGGGGTAGGCAACCTTGGCTCTTTTATGACTCGTGGACTTCAACTTCCAGAATTCCTGAGCCAGCATGGCTCAGCTTGGAAACCTCCCCCTTTTCCCTCAGCATGGCAGGCTCAGGAATTCTGGGAGTTGAAGTCCACGAGTCATAAAAGAGCCAAGGTTGCTTACCCCTGACCTAGCCCAATGTTCTATTTTTCTACCTTAACTTCAACTCCCAAAATTCCCCAGATAGCATATCTACAATGTCCTAAGAAATGCAGAGATACTCATTTCAGCAGTTAATATGTCCTTCCCAAATCTTGGTGCACTGCAGTTGTGAGATTCCAGTTTCTAAAATTCCCAAGCCAGGTTTATTGAGGAACTCCAAAGATCTTTGAAGAACAATGTGCCCATTATCAAAAAATAAATGATGTAACTAGTTACTCAAGAATATGTCCTCAGATAATTCTCTATCTCGCTATGGAGATTCTCAATCATCCATAGATGATTGGTTGTCCCAAAGGAAATCCCTTTCAATCAGTTAGAACTAAAGAAACTTCTTGGATGAGAAGTGAAACATTTTCAAAGAAAATCCCTCAAGAAACTCAAATTGTCTTTTGGAAAAGGCACCATTAAGATATTCTCTATCTCCAATATTCACATCTGTACAGGAGTTAACATCTATTAAGTTTTTTACCTATATAATCAGTTACTGTAAGTTCATACATCAGATGAATGAGTTGATTTGCGTATTTCCCAACAAGAATTTTTTTCAATTCTGTCCAAATCCTTTCGCCAGATATTCCAGCCAAACCTTTGGCATTTTCTTTGATGGCTTCCAGAGTTTTGGCATCATGATCATCAGGCCTTTCAGCTATCCTCCCGTAAAATCTAAGGAAAATAATTTCAGCCTTATAATTCATTTTGCTGAGTTATAGGCATCACATTACCAACCCCGCTGTTCATAGCTTGACTTTCAAGAATTTTGGAACTGGGTAAGATGGCAGAACAACGTGCCAGTATATGCCAAAGTGTTTACACTCAAGTAAAATTCACTCTACATTAACTCAATATGGTCACTGTAAGGACTTAGAATACAGTTGTTTTTATAAATATCCTGGTGCAAATATATTTAGGCAAACTGAGCACCAAAGTGAAAAGGGCAAAGATTTGATGTCCAAATGCCACTAATACTGAGTGCCATACACAAACCAGGAAGTCAATGCTCTGTAAGTGATCTCCAAGTGAAGTGTAATTAAGGAATAAATAAAAGAACATCTAGCTCTCTGCAAACTGGCCAGTGCCCCATATCATGTAGGAATATAAAGCTATTTACCGGAAATAGCGAAGAATTCGTAAAAAATCTTCTTTTATTCTCTGGTTGGCTTCTCCTACAAATCTGATCTTCTTGTTTTTTAAGTCATTGTAACCACTGAAGAAATCATAAAGAGTGCCATCCAAACCTATCAAGCAAGTGAAACATATTTTAACAAAAATTACTTAGAAATTCATTTAAAAAGGCATTTTCTGAAACTCCATCCATCTTTAGCATTTGATCAGGGTCAGAACAAGATGACCAGCAATCATGGTAGGTAGTAGGATGAAACCTTCACTTTGTAATACCAAAGCTAAAAAATATTGGTTGAAATGATTAGCATCAGCTGATAAGAAATGGATCTCATGAAAAGTGATTACTTAGGAAGGAAGCCATTGTATATTTTTTAAGCTACTGATAATCCATGGATTTCTTTAAGCAACAATCAGCAATTTTAATAAGAACCATTTTATATTAATCTATATAACATGAGCACCCAAAAATGTGGTGTTCCTTTTAAAGCATGTACCAAATCTTGTGAAATTTCAATAATTTCAGCACTGAGATCTAATACAGGAACGCTGCCATATTTCAGGGGAAATTGGCTAGCTCAAAAGACTTTAACATGCTTTATTTTAAAGGATAACTATTTAAATTTAGGGATTCTATGTGTGCCATTTAATGGAATTATAGGCATCACATTACCAAGATGGCAGAACACTGTACCAGTATATGCCAAAGTGTCCTCATTCAAGCAGAATTCTGTCTACATCAACTCATTGTAAGATGTCCATAATATCTATATACTACTGAAAATCTCCATTCGATACTTTTGGATGAATTACTCCTAAGGGAATGAAATTAGTTTTGCCTCAGCTACAGTCATGCCATTCTTATTTTCAAAGTTCCCTGACAGCTTCCCACAAACCAATGGGGAACTTGGAAGGAACATGTATGGTTACCAATAAGCCTATGATATGAAAGGAAGGAGCAGGAAAAAATGAAAAAGGAAGGACAAAGTATGGAAGGAAAGAAGAGGATGGGAGAAAGATTTCTAATGCTCACTGCCAGCCTCTCACAAGAAAACTCAATCAGTTGTTGCCTTCCAACTCCTAGTTAGGCTTAAACCTGGAACCACTAGAGATAGGGTTGACATAGAACATTCAAGTGAGAGAACAATCCACATTTATAGGACCACCATGCCATCTTTTAAGATGGGAAAATAGCTTACCTAGGAACATAGAATTTATGGTGAGATCTCTTCTTGCCGCATCTTTTTCCCAATCAGTTGTGAATTCTACTTCTGCATGTCTCCCATCAGTACGCAGATCAATTCTCAGTGTGGTAATTTCAAAGTTCTCCTCGTGGAGCTGCAGCAAAAAAACCCCAACTTCTCATTTGGCTAACAGAATCCATTTTAAAACCTTGCATTAAAATGGATAGAATGGAATTTTGAAAAAAAAAATCAATCCATCATCTGTTTTGTTTCCTGCATGAAAACATTCCTTTGCCTGTATTTCCCCCCTTTTACAGCTTATAACTGAGGGTGGGGGTTTATTGGGTTTTGAATTGGGAGTTTTATTTCTGTAAGCCGCCTGGAGTTACCTTGAGTCGGTTGGATGGCCATATACAATTTCTTAATAAATAACAGACAACTCTTTTTACAGTATTTTCCTTTATCCAATGACCCCTCAAGTCTGCCTCCACTTGCCCCAATGCCCTATGTGGAATTCCTTCCCGCCCAACATGGAAGCTAATTGTCTTCATCTTTTTTGTGCTCAAGTACATTTTTTCTTCATACATCAGTGACAACTATTTATCCATCAAATTTATAAGTTTTAAAAATACTATGTAAAAAACATGTACTACATAATGCTTTGATTATTCTGTGTCTTCTAATTTTTCTAATTATTCTATGTGTTCTAATTTGTAGGACTGAAGACTCAGCCACAATTGGACAGAGGCATTTCATCTTATCCCATGTGCCTCAAGTTCCTTTAGTTTGGCATAGTACTCTAGGCCTTCCTTCTCCAAAATGGCTTTTCTGCAATTCCCAAACATCATGGTGAAAAAGTAGAGTGACTAGCCATTGAGAGGATGGCAGTTTCAACATATGTGATAGTACAACTACCTTTCATGGCAAACAACTATTATCAGATAGCCTCTGAATATTGTCATGTTCTGCATACAGCCCACTTCTCTTTCTCTTCTAATATTTTCCCACATTTGCTGACATTATAGTCAGCTAGCAATGAGGTCAGCTTACAGGAAGGGACAAAGAAGGTTGCCTCATTGCAACAATGTCTATATTTTTCTATTTACCAATTAAAAAAAGAAAACAAAGATATATTTGCTAGCTTTAAAGCTCAACATGAGGACAATTTAGACTTTTTTATAACCTTAGGAATATAAATCTATAGACACTCCTCTTCTACCCAAATACTTTTTCTGTCTATTTTTCATTTTAAAAGTTTGCAAAATCCTTTTACCCTAGCGGTGATGGTTCCATGTTTTTCTCCTCTGTTGTTGATCATACGGACACCCTTGGCCTGGAACATTTCTTTCATCTGACTAGGTGTTGCAGTAGTGGCAAAATCAACGTCTTGTGGTTTTATTCCACTGAGTAAATCCCTTACAGCACCTCCTGCTATTCTTAGTTCATAATTTTCTTTATTAAATATTTCTGTAAGTAGAAATGGGAAAAAATTATAAAGACAAAGTATACATGAAGGAAGCCAAGCAAGAGAAATTATGGTATAATGACTTTTGATTTATGTGGAATTCCTCATGCTAGATTTGTCCAAGATAAATAATGCTCTAAACCTAACTTTTAATTCATAATTTACAATTTAATTTTGTAAATCAAATAGAGTGGGGCCTCATTGGTTCAGTTATAGAATATGTTATTTATAGACAATTTGGCTGTCTTTTGGCCTGTGTGCATGCACTTGTGATGTGTCCCATCGTGAACAAGACCTTTGCTCATAGATGGAGAAAATTTAAATCATACTTTAATTTTTTAAAAAATATCTTATTTCTGTGCTTTAACTTAAAGAAAAAAGAAACCATTGAAAATTTTCTTTTCAAAAATTCATGCACTAGACCACATGCACAGTAGTCTTGATGAGGATTAAGATCAATCAAATACTGCAGAAGTGGTCTGTATTTTCACTTGTATCATTAAAGCATGAAAGGGCAATAAATCTTAAGTCAGTGAGGGCAAACCTTTTAGAGACCGAGTGCCCAAACCGTAACCCAAAACCCACTTATTTATTGCAAAGTGACAGGGCCGCATCAGCATTGTGGTGCCCTGGGGGTGGGGGTCAGGGAGATGCTTCTGAGTGCCGCCTCTGGCATGCAAAAAATGGGGCACAAAAATGGGCCACCGTGCGGCAAGGCGCAAACACGGCCACCGCCGCGCTGCAAGGTGCAGATACAAAGCAGGGCTAGTGAGTATCATGCAGGCACTAGCCCCATCCCATTTGCAGCACATAAAATGCTTCCCCCTCCCTTTTCTTCCAGTCCACCACCTCTACTCAGGCTTGCTAGTTGGCTGCTTCGCTTCCTTCGTGCTGGGTGGGGCTCCTGCTCCGGGCAGCAGTGGCGGCCTGATGGACCTGCTGCTGCTGGTGGTGGCGCATGTGCCAACAGAGAGGGCTCTGAGTGCCGTCTCTGGCACACGTGCCACAGGTTTGCCACCACTGCCTTAGGCCTTCCAAAATTTCTTATAGATATTGATACAAAAACATGCTTGGCATGTCTGATATTACTCAGGCAGGCATATTCTAACAAATCACAAAAGCAGCCAAAGAATCCAAACCATAGTGTAAAATGAAATACTTCATGTAAATTATATGTCTGGATTAAGCATTTTAAAATATTTCTCCAAATTCACCTCAGCAAATCTTGAAAATCTCAGTTTAACATAAATCAAAGATAGTTCAACATAACATCTACAAGTAGCATATATCCTTTGAATGTGACACTGCACTGGAAACAGTTTGATACACCCATCTCTGATATGATGAATGAAAAGAATCAAATTTGTCCTTCTGAATAATACAACTGAAAAGTCAGCAGGACTGGTTTGCAATCCTGGAGTGAAACTTATGTTTGATGCTTAAAGTCTCAATCTGTTTTGATTGACAGTTTGAGAGAGAAATCTGTATGTCTTTGTGGCCCATGTGACAAAAGACATTCAGGTACTATTGTACACCAGTGTTTCTCAACCTCTACAACTTTAAAACATGTGGACTTCAACTCCCAGTATTCTCTAGCCAGCATCCATGTGCCTTAGAAGTTACAGAGGTTGAGAAACACTATTGTAATCTTTTGAACATAGTTGTTAAAGAAATCTGGCTGTTATGCTAGTTATAATCCCAATGCAAAAGAGAGTAACCTACTAGTTTATGTTGGTATCCTGGTATGCACCAGCATGAGGTATTTTATTGCTGAAGTTACTACTGGAATAAAATAATTGCTAGTCATAGTGAAACACAAGCACTAATAGTATTAAATCACGAGTTCTTGTTCATTGTTGTTTTTACAATTATCAGGAATTCCTAGTCCAAAAGAGGGCCGAGAAATCTGCCTTCCCCCACAAAGTGCAGAACTACATCACGTGGCAGAAGTAAACCGATCTAATAATGGTAAGAGATACTCCAAGCAGATGTTCAAGCAACAGCTGGAGGGCCACAGGTTGTCCATCCCAGTTCCCAAGCCACCTCCCAAGAAAATGAAGCACCTGTACCTGCAATGCCCTTCAGTCCCGGGGTGAAAAGAGACTTAAATTCGGAAGACTCTATCTTCATGGTTCTGAAATTCCGACAAAAGCTTGCGAGCCCTACTCTGTTGCGGGGAGCAAGGATTTCGCCTGCCTTATAGCTCAGAAGAACGAAATGACTCCACATCTTTAAAAAAAGAAACAACGAAACGAAACCACGAGTTAATGAACACCCCAGGAAGGCATGGTGCAACCCAGAGGCCCGGCAGACGCCCTGAAAATAACAATTACGTGGGTTGCGGGTGGGAGAAAGCCCTTTGCACAGCTAGGCAAAGGTGGAGTGAGCAGCCGGAAAAACTCACGCCACGCTCGGTTTCCGCGGCCTGCAAGGAATCCCCGCACCGGCCGGGCGTTTCAGTCCATTTCTCCCCCTTTTTTCCCCTTCGCAAGGCCTGCTGGCCAACCTTCGCTGGCGAGAGAAAGGGCAGCCTCACTCACCAACGAACTTGGGGTGGGGGTGGGGGTCTCCGCGGCTTTAAGCGAGCGGACCCAGCAACCCCGCAGCGTCAATTGCTGCCAAATAAAAATGAAGGTGCGACTTCCGAAGCGGGAGAGCAGGAGGCGGGCGCTTGCAACGGCGTAACTCCTCCTCCGCGTCCTTCCCAGTCGAGGGTGGCGCTTTTATCCGTCTGGAGACCCGCTCGAGACCGCGTAGCTGTCCTCTGTAGCTGTGCGCGCGCTTTTTTCAGTTGGCTCTGCAGGATGGTTCGCCGCCTTGTGGAGTAACTTCGGCAATTGCTGAGCGTGGCTAAACTGGCATTTTGCTTGTGTCCGAAAGAAGCGGCCTTTTTCAGGACTCAGGTCGTTATCTTTTAAGGCTTGGTCCACAAATCACGATAAGCCGCGCGTGCTTTACCCATCCTGTGTTAAGGATAACACAGCTGGCTAGGCTTGCGCAGTACGATAAGCGAGAAATCACAGTTAATATTGGAAATGTTAACCTATCACGGGTTTTTATGATTCAGTGAAGTTTGTGAATCCCGCTCTCACAGTGGAACTGAGGGGCCGAGGCCTCTTCCATGCAAGTGAATGCGGGATATTTCCTAGGAAAGCAAACTTTGGGTCCCGCCCCCCGAAATTCTGCTACTAGCCGCCTAGATTTTCGCAGCCTGAATCTAGTTGTCCTGTAGGGTTAAGAGAATACAGTCTGGATATCCTTCCCGTGTGGGAAAACTATGGGAGAAAGGGACTCTTGACATGCAGCTTAGGAGGTCTCTTGAATCTTGTATCACGTGTAATTATTTCCCTTCTCATTCAGACTACGGGACTGGCTGGATTTGCATGGGCAGGCAGCAACTGGCCTGTTATAGGATCCCACGTGGTAATTGTGCTAGAGTTTGCAGCCAAACGGGGATGTATCTTGTGTTCCACAAAATTTAGTAGGTGACCACTGAGATACTGTGGTTCTACTGTTTGTATTATTTTGTTTTATTCCCCTTTGTGATTTTACTAGGATAAATGAAAGCTAGTTTTGTTACACCAGTTTCTAACAAATAGTAATATCTGTTGACATCTGCACCATAATAGCTTCTGGCTCCTTTAGACAGAACAAAACAGAACAGAATAATAGAGTTGGAAGGGACCTTGAAGGTCTTCTAGTCTAACCCCAGTGCTTGGGCTGGAAGCCCTATACCAATAGTTGTCCAATTTCTTCTTTAAAAACTTCCAGGGTTTGGAGCATTCACAACTTCTGGAGGCAAGTTGTAGACTATGATTTGAGTATGTGAACTCTCTATAAATATATGGCAGTGTGTATGTATTTCAGGGATTAAGACTAAAAAAAAGAACCCCAGATAAATGATCTTGAGAGCTAGGTCAAAGAGCTTTACTGACTTTGAAGAAAAATTGATTTAATATACTCTTGCAGTTCTATAATGAAATTCATCTTCATTTGAACAAGATAAATTAGGTCCTTTAGTGCCTGATTATTTGCTAGTAGGCCTCTTTTCAGAAGCATATAAGTATTATGATCTCAATATAGATACCAACTACAACATTTTTTTCTTGGTGCTAGGTAGCCACATATGATCAAGAAAGTCTTAATAATATTAATGTAATGTAGCATTTCACAACCTTGGCAGCTTGAATATAGTTGTACTTCAAGTCCTAGAATTCTCCATCCAGACTGGTAAATTCTGGGAGTTGAAGCCGAAACATCTTTTGAGGTGCCAAGGGTTCATAACTACTAGTATAAGGTATTGTTTTGGAATATGTATGACAGCTGTGAGTTGAAATAGCACAGCAATGCACTTTATCATAAGGTGGTCAAAATGTCACAAATATGTGCTTATGAGTCAAGCAATGAAAAAATTGGTAATAATAACACAATGTAAAATATTCAGTAATTTTTATTATCAATTGATAGAAGTAAAGGAAAGGTCTTCAAAAATGTAATATTGAAAGAGAAATGTAAAATTGAATTTGCTGCAGTGGAAATTTACTGAGTGGAGAAGCAAGTATAGTATATGGGAACCAGGAAAGGAGAGAATAAAGAAAGAGAAACATGCAGGCAAAAATTAGATGGGTCTTAGAGTGGGAAAGGAAGAAGACAAGCTATAAAAACATCTGTAAGAGAAGATAACTAGCAGAACAGGAAAAAACCTATTTTTCTAAGAAGTCATAAAAAACGGGGCCAGAACTCAGGCAACTGAGCATGTGCAATTAGTTGATTAATATTAACTGACACACCTTGCATAAATCATCTCTTAATTTTCATGTACATGTGATGTATGATTTAGTATGTAGCAGGAAATATGTAGGAGGTGGTTGGAAAGAGTGTAACCTCATAGTACCTCAGCCAATGGGGAAAGAGGAGGGATGTGCGGCCGGGGCAGGGATGTATAAAGAAGGAAATATTTTGGGTTGGAACTTTGGAGAGAACCAAGCTTTAATAGCTTCTCTCCCCGCTTATTGCAATAAACGAAACAAAAGGCCTTCACTGTGTCTTGGCTGGTTATTGGTCAGGTGAGCTTGCCTCTGGTCACGAAGGAAAGTAGCCAGGAGCGCATAACATCAATTATTAACAATTCTTGATGTTGCATCATTTGTCTAGGGTCCCTATTTTGTTTTGTTTGTTTTTCCTTTTTATAAGGCTATTTTAATCTGGGCTATCATGTCTGTTCGATGTTTTTATATTTTTTCTCATTTCATATGGTGCCCAGAGTCCATTTGGTAGCTGATAAATTCAAATACATAAAATAAATATAAATATTTATTAAACATATATCATCCCATAATGGTGACCTTTAACAGTTTACAAAGTAAATAATATAGACATCCATGATACAACTATCAGACAATTTCATAATGAAACCTCTAAGAAGCAGCAATGATAATGAAAACAAAAAGAAAAAAATGTTTCAGGGCTTAAGAGAATATTGGCTGGAATAATTCAATTTTCATAATTTTCCCATAGTTCAGCTGGAAACTTGATCTTCATACGGTGGGTGGAGGAGGGGGAGGAGTGCTTTGCAGTTCAAAACTTTGGAACTACAATAGAAAAGCAGTGCTTTCTAGGTTCTACCTAGGCATATTTTGGAAATGTAGGACTATATTATATTTGATCTATATAATCAATATTATATTTGATCTATATAATCTAGTGTAGGGGTGTCAAACTCACCACGTCATGTATTGCGACTTTTCCCCCATTGCTGGAGCTGGGGGGGCGCAGTTTCAGCATGATGCATCCGGCCCGTGGGCCAGCAGTTTCACACCCTGATCTAGTGGGTCAGGCTGATTGTAGTTGGGTCAGGAGAACTTGCAGTTAACTTTAACAGGCTTTGTAGGTCAACACCAGCACTTTAAATTATAAGTGACAGAGAGTATGGCCTCCACAGAATTCCATGCTATGCGCTTCCAAAGTTGAGAGAGACAGTATGTATATGGACTACTGTTATGTGCTCTTGGCTACTTTCCTTTGTGACCAGAGGCAAGTTCGCCTGACCAATAACCAGCCAAGACACAGTGAAGGCCTTTTGTTTCGTTTATTGCAATAAGCGGGGAGAGAAGCTATCAAAGCTTGGTTCTCTCCAAAGTTTTAACCCAAAATATCTCCTTCTTTTATTCATCCCTATCACCGGCCGCTACAGCCCTCCTCTTTCCCCATTGGCTGAGGTACTATGAGGTTACACTCTTTCCGTCCGCCTATACACATTTCCTGATAACATACTAAATCATATTCACATATACAATAAGAATAAGAAAAATTATTTTCTTATAGTTATTTTAAACTCAGTATATATTTATGTCTCCATTTTAAACAATAAGTTCTTTTCCTGTTCTCCATTCAGCCTTTCTTTCTGGCTAGCCATTTCCTTAAAAAAACTATTTATCTATTTTATTACTTCCCTCTTCCTTTCTCAGACCCAACTATTTTTGCCTTATCTTACTTCCTTAATGTTATCTCTTTCTGACTCACCATCTGTATTTTTTTCTATTCAATTAGTTTCCATTGTATTGTAGGTTTTAACTGTCTCTGAAGATTTATCATATTGATGTATATTTATCACTACCATAATCTGAATCAATTTCCAAGTTGTCTTTTAAAATAATTCAAGTAAAACCAATGAAAATGTGTAATTTATTTGCTTCCACAAAATGTAGTGTAACTTACCAAGTTAGATGATTTTAAAAGAAGAATAAACAGCTTCAGAGTTCTTATTTAGTTAGCATGATGCCTTTGTGGGGCATTCACTTGGAAGTGACTACATAATGGACCAGTGCTTTCATGAATTATATAGGCTTCTTGATGGTGATTGTGGAAAATGGGATGCTAGACTCCATGGACCTTTGATCTTATCCATCCAGTTCCTTTGGCATTGTTATCCCTTTCTAATTACTGGAATGCAGCCCTAAGAATGTTTCACTGATTAAGTGATGGCATTGCTCCATTAAAAGCAATTAACACTCTGCAAATAATCTGGCTTCAGGGCCATTTTTACACTATCAGACAAGATGGTTCTGGGGGGGGGGGGAAACCCTGCTGTTTTCTCTACAGAGTGAATCACCTCCAGAGTCAAGTAGTTTTCCTTGATTTCTTCTTGTGGAAAAGAATATAATAAAGTAGATTGTCTGTGCAATAGGATATTGATACAAAACACTTGGTTTATACTGATACCAAGACAGAGTGAAGATATATTTACTATTCTGTGTTTTTATAGCCAGAAACCCTAACACATAAATGTTCCAGGATACTGATATCCCTTAGCAGTAACACACTGAAGTCTGTACACTGTTCACTTTGTCTTAAATACTGTTTGCTTTTGTAATGAATGTATATGTCATCAAGTTAATAATGTCAATGTATTTAAGTATGTTTTACGTATTGTTTTTGTAAAATGCTAATCCATGTTGGGACTACAAACCATTTGAGTTAGCAAGTTAAGGAACTGTTCATAGCTCTCTCTGTGTGTTCATATGTGTGCACA